ATCTAGGATTTCTTGCATGCTGATTTAGTACTTCTAATGTTTTGTTACATTGTTGTTGACTGCTTAGGTAGAGGACCATTCCAAAATGTGATTTGTGATGTGTTTGATAGAAGTGAATTATTTTAGGGATATGTATTATGAGTCTTTTTTTCAACTTTTGCACTGATGCTGTACTGTATTGACCAAATTATCAAACCTATGTGGTCTGTATTTTATAAGACCTAACTGGACAGCAATCCACTCAATTAATCGCCAACATGTTGGGAAATCTAAAAAAGGATTAATTTGCAGAGGGACAGCTTATGTTACAGCCTGGTAGGTTTTACTGATGACAACACGTGTTATTTATAAAGTTGGCTAGTAATAATCATGTATGACATTAAAGGATGGTATTCACCTAGTTTTTAAAAATGATCATGGCCCTAAAGTTAGGATGTTGAGCGGTTCTTATTGGGTGTTGACTTTTAGACACTGAAAACTGAAGGACTCAAATGAGTTGTGTCTGGCAGCAAAAACATGTTAGTTTGTGAGACAAAATACATTGCAACTACTGTAGCTGCACGCCTGCTAGTGTACCACTTTACATTTTCACGTGGTGTTGAAAGATGCCAGTGGATCTTTCTGTTGACATCTCTCAATTATGTATTAAATACTGCGTCCAGATTATATGTATTCTCTGATGAAACTGCCTGATGAATGGCTAGTAATTCTGTTATGTTATTGTATCCTACTTTTAGCTATGATTCCATGTGGCCTGTTTTAAATTGCTGTGCCAATTATGTATATATTTGTTGATTTCAATGCAATTTATGTATGTTTTTTTTTCATTTCATCAATATGTTTGGATCTGGCAAGCACCAAACTGTTCTGCTTGCTGTTGTCTGTTCGACTGTGTCTTGGCTAAATGGTTCTTTTTTTGTCCGTGAAAATGAGGTCCAGATTTGAATAAATTACACCACAGTATGACAAAGTCGGCTTTATGATTCATTAATACTTTTTCTTCCAGATGTGAACATTTGTGTTCATGATAATCAGAATCTTTTTTTAAAAAGGTTCAAATGTATCACCATTCACTCTAGTATAGCAAAGTTATAGAAACCTTTTTAAGCAACAAAAGTGTGCGTTGAGATGAACAGCCCATTCGATTTCAGACAGTATTAATCAATAATTAACCCATTGTATCTCAAATGTGTTTCTATTAGATCTTTTCTCACAGTAGGCCAAAGTACATACTATTGATTTCATTGGGATGCATCTCTCTCAGGGTGGAGTAATGTACCTGTTACTCTGAGCGAGATGAAGCAACCAATCATAATGACAAGTTCGTAAGAGGCATATTTAATATAAGTCTTTGACCGAGTTAAAGTGCTCAGTTGACGCAAGGAGTGACAACCAAGATTTACTCATCAGACATACAATTATTTATTAATTGCTTCATGATAGTGTATCAAACACAGACAGATCAAATTAACTGGTGTTAAGAGTGACAGACACCTAAACAGAACATTCTCACAAAAGGAATGACCTTTGGTTTCTCACTGCTTGTAATGATCACTGTTTTTTAGAAAGATTATTAGACTGGATCTCCACAAACAAAAAAGGAAAATTATGCAGTTCAAGATTCTCAAAATGACAAAGTAATCTATATTACATTTGCACTTCAAATGCAAGTGTTTAAACTTGTACTCATCTTCTGACAATAATCAGAAAAGGTAGGAATGTAATGTCCAAATGTCATTCACTTATTAAGGCTGCTAATATTAACATTAGCATTTGCTGGCTGAACAATAGCAAGTCTGGATTGCTCATTATTACAAAGTAGTTCAACATCTGTCATTAAAATCACAGTAGAGACACCATATTAAAAGCAGAATGACTGGTACCACGTTTAATGTTAACAGGTTGCAGAGAAGCTTGCTTTTGTATTTGCAATATATTTGATTCCCATTTATTCATTAAAACAATACTTAGCTATAAAGCGTATTACTAAAAAAATATAACAATCTGTAAACAAACCTAATTTCTTAACAGTCTTGTGTTGTAGGGAGGCATTTGGTCTATTAGGTTAATGCTATGGTACAACTAAATAATTATTAACATACACATGTCCCACATTATTCTCTTTTGGAGATAATTATAACTTTTAACACAGTGATTGACTAACAAGACTGCTAGTCTGATTGCACGTACTAAAGAAGTAATACCTTTTTCTGGCTCTTTTTCTTTATGGATTGCTTCCACTTTTTTACACCACTACTTCTGCATCAAGATATCCTCCAGATATATTCAGCAACACCAATAAAATCCATACAACCTGTCCATGAAGCATCTTGTCAGATCCACCTTGCTGAAGAAGGGTATAAACAGAGTAATCCCCCATCTTTCAGATTGTGTAGAAGAAGGCAGCAATCCCAGCATGGCCTCCAGGGGGCTTTGCTGGACAAAAGGTGCATACACGACATCATCATCATCATCATCATCATCATCATCATGTACTCCTCTACTCAATGGCCTCCTCTGTCAATCTTCACTGTATGGCAGTCTCGTAAAGCAAAACATGCCTACAGAAAAATATGTCAAATTGTAAAAAAAGAGAACGGCCATATTGTCCATATCCAGTGATACCGCTCACTTTGCACAGGTCAGGGTTGAGCTTTCAGAAGCACGCCACAACTTTCACGTCCAGTTCACCGGCTCCAGCTGAACTTGCCCCAGAATCCTGATCCATGCTTAATCCGTTGCCGAGCTGGATGTGATGGAGGCCGTTGTTGAAGCTGGCACACAGCAGATTGTCAGAGTCGGTGGGAGCGAGACAAACCAGTGGACCAGCGCCATCCAGATGCAACGTCCCTAAACACACTGAGCAGAGAACGGAGGAACAGTGTCAGAGCCCATGTGTCAATCAATCAATGTTTATTTATATAGCCCAATATCACAAATGTTACATTTGTCTTAGTGGACTTCACAGTTTGTACAGAATATCAGTATGACAATACGACACCCTCTGTCCTTAGACCCTCACATCGTACAAGGAAAAACTTCCAGAGAAAACCCACAGTTTAAAGGGAAAAATGGGAGAAACCTCAGGGAGAGCAAGAGAGGAGAGATCCCTCTCCCAGGACGGACAGACGTGCAATAGATGTCGTGTATAAATTGAAAAGATAATACATTTGCAACATAGGTAGTCCAAATGTTTGGAAATGCATGTATAATAGGAAGATGAATCCACGAGGATATCCATCCAGGACTTATGATCCAGGACCACAGCCACGACTCAGATCCAGGACTCGCGATCCATGACACAGGACCGCAGGATCATCCATGACTCCGGATCCCGGGGTATATAGACACCAAAAAGAAAGACATTTGGGGAAGCTGGGTTAATCGGAACATGAGAGTACACAGGTATAGACAGAGAGAAGGAAGAAGTAAGATGTCCCCCGACAAACTAAGCCTATATCAGCAAAACTAGGGGCTGAATCTAATCAGCCCTAACTATAAGCTTTATCAAAAAGGAAGGTCTTAAGCGCACTCTTAAAAACGGATAGGGTGTCTGCCGCCCAAACACAAACTGGAAGCCGATTCCACAAAAGTGGAGCTTGATAAGAAAAGGTTCTGGCTCCCATTGTACTTTTAGAGACTCTAGGAACAACCAACAACCCTGCATTCTTGGAACGCAATGCCCTAGTAGGACAGTAGGGTATAATGAGTTCTTTAAGGTAAGATGGCGCCTGCCCATTAAGGGCTTTGTAGGCGAGAAGAAGAATTTTAAATTCTATCCTGTGTTCTATAGGGAGCCAGTGTAAGGCAGCCAGAACAGGAGTAATGTGGTCCCTTTTCCTAACTCTGGTTAGTACATGAGCTGCAGCATTTTGAATCAACTGAAGCGACTTGACTGACTTCTTTGTACACCCTGATCCCACCAGAGGGGCAGATTTCCAGTGGATTACCAGAGCAAAATGTACTGTACAATTTATTTTAAATATGTTTCAATTTAAATAAGATGGCAAAGTTTGTTAACTGAAATAATACACAATTTTTAGCCTTCATGGGAA